TACGTGACAGATAAGAATCTGCGATATTTTAAGACGTAATCTAGGTATGTACAACAAGCTGCTTGCCAATTCCCGTGAATGAAACGTCTGTCACCATCTGGCGTGCGCGCCACGTGGCTGGATTTCATTGACGCGATATGCGACGATGGTACGAAAGCGTCCGGAATGACCGAAATGAGAGCGGGCTATCCTCTCATTCTTGCAAAATACGTATCTCTCACGCTCCGATTTCTCCCTGCTTTCTTGCTCTAAATTTCGCCTCCTGAAAGTCGAGCATTAATCTCAAGTGCGCGTTAAAGCAACACACATGACACGTAGTACATATCGATTTGCTCGCTTATTGCACGTGTCAGCCTTATTAGGTGGCAGCACGAGCTGGTAGTCAACGCGAGATACATGGCAGTGCCTATCCAGCTTATCCACCGTGCGTGTCGTTCGCTCGCGTTTGCGCTCGCACGTCAGTCCGTTCTCGACTGCGGCATTCGACGATCCGGCGATCCACGACGTCACCTGGACATCATCCGGCGTCGCGACGCCCGTTAACGTAAGCCGAAACCTCCGTACCACCCCTGGGATTCCCTTTTTAACCTTCTGTTAACGCTACTTCGTTCTCGGAGGGAGACCCTACCTCCGCTCCGATTTCATCGCCCGATACTCTCGCTCGACTTTCACCGCGGATCCCGCGAGCGATTTTCCGTACGAACCTTCGCTCGCGGCCTTGATCGTATTCGCGTACCTTCGCACGCACGTCCTTTTCCCACGCATTTTTGCGTCCGTCACGTATGTACGTGTGCCGTGTGCGTGTGTATGCGTATCTCCGCGTTGTCCTCTTTTTCGCACGCACACGCGTGTTTCGAGAGAACGCGCCAAACGTGTCGCAATCCGAGCCTCGATTGAGCGAGCGAGGCAAAAAAATACGCGGAAATGTTTTGACACCTCGCACATTCGCGTGCGAAATAAGGGCACTCCGGATATACGAACAAAAGAGCGCACGACATAAATAGGATGTAAATTGTAATGTATGGAACGTGACATAAATGTATTTAAAGAGCCACGTGTTTGGACGGTAGACGCATGTGTGCAATAATGCTTTTCTCCCATTGCTATCTGTTTCGTTGCAAAACATTTTTATTTATACACGCCGCGTGAAACGTGCAAGGCAGACGTGTGTCTCTGTTGCGGAAATTGGAAGCGGACAGACGACTCGTCCGTATTATTTCTCTCGAGCTGTCGCAGACGTTCTCACGCTTCTCACAACAGACCCCGCGCTCTCCCTTATCTTCGCTCTTATATTCTGTTTGTTATTTGCGCACATCGCTTTGAATACACGTCGCGCATATCGCACGCCGCACATCTGCGTTTGCGTTATCTTAATGATCGATAACGACCGATTCCGTTTATTACGCTATTTCGCCCGCTTTCATTATCCGGAGAAAGTTACACCATCTCGGAGGCTCGTTTGTAACAGCTGATGACGTGGCCCGATCATTTACGCGGGAATTTGTACGGTCGTGGCCTTTCGCTGACGATCGTTTCATCGTTGGCTCCGGATTTCCCGGAGCCGCGATGTCGCACGCGATATCTGCATGATGCCACTCGTGCGCACGTGTATGCGCTTATACGCGAATCCTGCTGGTTAATCAATGTGGTGCAAAGCTTTCTTCTGCCGACTATTTTTTTATCGAGTGTCTTCTGCACTCGATACATGTGATCGTAATCGTTGATAAGGCTTAGTCGAATAAAAGATAACGCATGAATTGTCATTGAACGAGAATATAAAGTAGGATTTAAATTAAATAATCGACTTAAGCAAATAAATGTCGAATGTTGGTAAGTGCACGCTTCGCTTTCTATTTCACGTCGGAAAAAAATTCTCCCGCATTCTTCCTGCGATGCTTTCATCATTTGTATATCTTTCTTTATTTTTATTTTTAGTTCCAGAAAAATGCAGTACCTTCTACCACTAGTTTTAGTAGTTTTAATAATACAGACTTCGGTCGCACCGCCTGTCGAAAAGAAGAAGAAGGAGGAGGATCACAATGACAAGGAGAACGAAGTCGATGACTCCGAAGATTTGGTAGGTATATTTTTGGAATAATTCTATCTCGATCCGGTTTATACGGATAACGTATAATTCGTAAAATTCGTTTGTCTTTGCAGGGAAACGCGGAGTATCAAATGGAGTATCATCGGTACTTGAAGGAAGTGGTCCAGGCTTTGGAAAGTGACCCGGAGTTTCGCGAAAAGTTGGAAAAGGCCCATGAAGACGATATACGTGTGAGTTTCATGAGAATAATTAAGATATTATAGGATTAATATATATTATATGTATAATTCTAACGTGATTTATTGCTTGTCATGTTTAATAATTGCTTCTTTAACAATGAAATTTCACACGATAGACTGTTATGTCTGATATACACCGATCTAAGCATAGATCGCGAGTAGATTGAAATCTATGGATATTGAATTGTCGAATACATTGGATATTTTCTGTCTATACAGGGTGTCATAAGTACTTTTTAAAACTTTGTAATCGTGTTTCTGGATAAAAAGTATGAATAAATATTCCTGCGAACATTAGGCCGAAAATGCTTCATTATAGTATAAGATATTTGATTTTAAACCAAGGTTGGCCAAACATATGCCAGCTGTTTACGTGTATAATTGTCGAGTCAGCGATATAAATACTATTTTAGAATCAAAACAGACATCATGGGAAGAAAGAATCTAAATTACTCAGTTATGAAATCTGTTTGTGTCTATCATTTCAATAATGAAGCGTAATATTCACAGGAACATTTATTCATACTTTTTATCCAGGAACACGCTCATGAAGTTTTAAAACATACTTATGACTCACTCTGTATATATACATATATTGAATGCAATTTGTAAATTTCATCAGATATTTTTGTACGTAGACGGGCAAGATAGCGCACGAGCTCCAGTTCGTAGATCATAAGGTCAGAACGAAGCTCGATGAATTGAAACGAGAGGAATTGGAGAGGCTGCGACATCTCGCCACCAAGGAGCATAATCTGATCAACGGTCTGGACATGGACCACTTAAAGATAGCGGAACATTTGGATCACTCTAATACGCATACGTTCGAGATAGATGATTTGAAGAAATTGATCGCCAAGGTAGAACAACTTCTGGATTTATAAAAAAAAATATGACCGGTTTTTGTATGAACTGTTCTAATGAATATTATATTATTATTTTGAATTATTGCAGACGACGAAAGACTTGGCGGACGCCGATAAAAGAAGACGTCAGCAATTTAAAGAATACGAGATGGAAAAGAAATTCGAGGAGGAGCAAAAGATGAAGGGTAATACCGGTAACAGAACATAACGCTTCTAGGCTTGCTCATTTACGAATTTATACGTAATCATCATTTTTGGAATTTACGTATTTCATTTTCGGAAGGTCTGAAGGAGGAAGAAAAGAAGAAGTACGAGGAAGAATTGGAAGCGATGAAGAAGAAACACAAGGATCACAAACCCGTAAGTTAAAAAATGGATATAAACTAGTTCTTTCTTTTCTAAAGACTTTATATCAATAGCGAATCATAAACTACGAATCATGCACAGTCTGGCGTCAATGAGTAATATGCATTTGCAGTTGCATCATCCCGGTAGTAAGCAACAATTGGAGGAAGTATGGGAGAAGCAAGATCATATGGAGGATCAGGAATTTAATCCCAAGACGTTCTTTTACCTTCATGGTAGGAAAGACTGTTATCTTTATTTACAGAATTGATCAATATTACTTTAAAAAGTGATTCTTCTTTACACATACAAATCGATTCTCAGATCTGGATGGCAATGGTTTCTGGGATCAAGACGAGGTAAAGGCTCTGTTCTTGAAGGAATTGGATAAACTTTACAATGAAGGCGCGCCTGAAGATGACATCTACGAAAGACGGGAAGAAATGGAAAGAATGAGAGAACACGTGTTTAATGAGGCCGATCTTAATCACGACGGTCTCATAAGGTATGCACTTCGAAAATTATTTCCAACCAAGATTCACATTCAGAATTCTTTATGCTAATCGATTGCCAAGAATCACATGAAACGAATAAATGTATTATTTTGCGTCTTTGTTTATTGCAGTTATCAAGAATTTTTAGAACAAACGAAGAAACCCGATTTCCAGCAGGATGAAGGATGGCAAGGATTGGATGAGCAACAAATTTATTCTCAACAAGAGTATGAAGCTTTCCAGAGGCACAGACAGGAAGAAATCCAGAAAATGATCGCCAAGGGAATGGTAGGCGATTAATTACCAAATTTAATCTTGACTGCACTTAAAAATTGAGTAGAAAAACTGTATTTATATATTGTGTATTATAAGTCTAGTTATGAATTTCTAATTGCTATAGGATTAAATCTCCGCATATATCGAGTTGATTTTATTTTTGAACATTACTTTTACATAGACTTCGAAAGCTATCTAAACGATTTTATTTCTCACTTTCGTATATATATATATATATATATATATATATATATATATATATATATA